AATATTTTCAATTTATATATATATATATATATATATATATATATATACAGTATATATATAATGTTTTCATTTTAATTTCAAAGATTTAGTAATTTTGTTGTTGTTGTTTTTTTGTCTTTTTTTTCTTTAGATATTTTTTTAGTAGGTCTATAATATTTTGAATAATTTTTATTTTAGTTTTAGTTATTTTAGAATGTCAAGTTTCCTTGGCAACTAGCTGAAATAAAACAAGTTTAAGTTTTTTAAAATATATATTTTTTCAAGTAACAAATGTTTTTTTTTGTTTGTTTTTTTAAATAGTTTTAGTTTACTATAATAACTCTGCCCCATATATTTGAATAGTAGTGTATGTATACATATTAGGGTAGCTGACATTGTGGAAATTAGATATTTTTAATAGAACAAAGGAATATCTTCACAAATAAAAGATATTTGAAAGAACATCAAGTTCAAACAACATTTGACCCCACTGGCTTTCACTGTACACATGGTTTAGTGTTTTACAGAAAAAAGAAAGTTAACCAGGTTTGTAATGACATGAGGGTGAATAAATGATGTCAGCATGTTTCCGAAAACTATCCTGTAGGGAACAAGCTTCAAGGGAGCTATTCTTTCTGCTTCCCTCGGTTTCTGTAGGAGGTGCTCACCTCCTCGTCATTGGGCTGTAAGATGTGGTAGAGCCAGGGGATCTCAGCCAGCTTTCCCAGTTCAACCTCAACGCTCTGCAGGGCACTGGACAGCAGCTCTTCATGCGGAGGGTCCAATTGCTAGAGAAATAAACTCACAGACTGAGTCAATGAATCAAAGCCTCAAGTTTTTTTTTTGTGGACTACTATAGCCATACGCATCTGGCATGGTCATTCTGGTGAGGGAAAATTGTATTGCTTGAAAGTTTATACCTTAAACGGATAGTTCACCCAAAAATAAAAATAAAAATTTGATGTTTATCTGCTTACCCCCAGGGCATCCAAGATGTAGGTGACTTTGTTTCTTCAGTAGAACACAAACAAAGATTTTTAACTCAAACCGTTGCAGTCTGTCAGTCATATATTCAGTCACAGTATTCTAGCGTTTTTTACCTCTCTCAAATGGACCATTGACACTCTATCTACAATCTCAATTAGGAGTGTCAATGGTCCATTTGAGAGATAGGTGGCGGTAATGCACTTATAAGTCTGCGATCCACCGTAAAGCAAGAAGAAGAAGAAGACGCATCACGCGCCGGCTGTCGAGGACGCGCTCAGGACAGTTCAGACGAGGTAAAAAACGATATAAATACTGTTCAGTTTCTTGCACAGACCGATTGTTTCGTGTCTTTACACATCAATGTATCATCACGAGCCACAGGGTTTAATTTGGTTTTGTTTGTGTATGTTTTTTTGACTCTCAAAGCCGTGATTCCCATTCACCTCCATTATATGACTCACAGACTGCAACGGTTTGAGTTAAAAATCTTTATTTGTGTTCTACTGAAGAAACAAAGTCACCTACATCTTGGATACCCTGGGGGTAAGCAGATAAACATCAAATTTTCATTTTTGGGTGAACTATCCCTTTAAGACTGTTATTATAGTCAATTATGTTTCATTTAAAGGAGTAGTGTACACAAAAATGAAAATTTGCTGAAAATGTACTCCATCCAAGTATAAGCTTTGTATTAGATGCTTCTCCTAAAATGCTTTCAACATAGATGTAAAAAACAGATGTAAGACTCCATTTGCTCTGCATCTCAGTGCAGTTTAAGACAAATAATGGAGATGTTCAAAAGATCTCATATGTAATTATTCTTCCTTATGGGGACCTGCTTTGCAGAACCATTAACATTTATGTCTTGGAAAAGGTAAATGAAAATGAGCTTAAAAGCATTAAATCAACTCACCAATGGAACTCGTCCTACTAGCAGCAACTCGGTCTCATTGTGCAGGGCCTTCACGGTGCTGCCCACCTCAATGGCAGTGTTTCTTGTCAGGCTCTGAGGAGAACAGATGAATCAGACGTGAGAATTTACTCATAATTATGTGACTTATTTGAACTATGAGGACAACAGAGCACAATAGTTGGGTTCCTGAAGTAAAAATACCATTCATTTTTTCAAAAGAGGCACCGGTTTTTAATGACAATGCAAAACAATTTTCATACAAAACTATCACGTGCTCTGATAAAAATCAGTATAGAACTTTGAACTCTTTCACACCAAACCCAGATTAGAATTGTGTGATTTGGAGACAAAGTAGGTTTTTGTAATAGTATAGAGGATGAATGATGATAACTCATTGGTGTGAACGGTCCTTCAGTGCTGGCATTGCTCACCTCGGGGAACTTGGGGTGTGTTTTGTTGATGGCGTGTGAGGAGGCGTTGACGGCGTGGGCCAGCTCCTGCTCGAGGAGTTGGTAGTTTTTGGCAGCCTCGCAGATCCTGGTGATGAGATCCTCTGCGGCTCGAGCGCACATCTGGATGAGCGTGGCCTCCTCCTCTGTGGCCAGATCCACAGAGTGCTGAGGATACAGGGGCGGCCTCAGCGGAGGCTTGTCGTATTTCAGTTTATCCTCCCAAGACTTAAGCGTGTTTTCAAATGCCTTTATTGAAAAACAAAAACAAGACTCTTTTAAATGATAGCGAGTTTTACAGCCAGTGTTTAGCAAGGTTACACACATTGACACTTATAAACCATCTTACTTACTAAGACATATAGCTGGAAGATATAGAGTAGCAACTGATAATCTAATTGATTTACATTACAAACAGAATTTCAGCCTACCTTTTGACCATATAAATAACAACATCTGCACCAGATTGTATATTTTTGCTAAGTTTGGGCCTCTGAATAAACATTTAGGTTGTATTTCCTCTTCGAATAAGAGCTCCATGTTCTCACTATATCATAATATATTATGAACCATAAAAGCCTGATGTATCAAATATGATACTCAACAAAACCACATATGCAAACAGTTGTTCAAAAGTTTGGGGTCAATAAGATTTTTTTTCTAAATAAATTATTAATTTTATTCAGCAAAGACACATTGCATTGATCAAAAGTGACAATTAATATATATATATATATATATATATATATATATATATATAACTACTAGCAAACCAATTGTACATCAAGGCAGAAAAATGTGAGTTCCATGTCAGACAAACGTCATTCCTGGGTTACCATATCAGTCACCAAGGAGTAAGAATGGATGAATCTAAGGTCAAAGCAGTCACAGAATGGCCACAACCATCCACCATAAAAGAGCTTCAAAGGTTCCTGGGGTTTGCCAACTTCTATAGACGCTTCATCAGAAATTACAGTATGATTGCTTCCCCTCTGACTTCTCTCCTGAAAGGAAAGCCTTCGAAATTGAAGTGGGCTGAGGAAGCCAGCCAGGCATTCAATACATTGAAGGAAAGGTTTACAACAGCCCCCATCCTGAAACATCCTGACCCCAATCTTCCATTTGTGGTGGAGGTAGATGCTTCGAACTGTGGAATCGGAGCTGTGCTCTCCCAACGTCATGGCCAACCTGGTAAACTGTATCCATGCGCATTCTTCTCAAGAAAGTTAAATGCATCTGAAAGAAACTATGATGTTGGGAACAAAGAACTCTTATCCATGAAAGCAGCCATCGAGCAATGGAGACACTGGTTAGAAGGGGCAATCCACCCATTTCAAGTAATAACTGATCACAAAAATCTTGAATACATCAAGAGTGCCAAACGACTAAATCCACGGCAGGCTCGTTGGTGCCTTTTTTTCACCCGATTCCAGTTTACAGTGACATATCGCCCAGGCAGTAAGAATAGTAAGGCAGATGCTCTATCCAGGCAGTATGATCTCCCCATTGAAAGCCTCACACCAGAATGCATACTCCCACCTTCTATTGTCATCGCTCCTATCACCTGGGACATAATGGAGGAAATACAAAGGGAACAACTACAAGAGCCAGCACCTGTCAACTGCCCACCAGACAAACAGTATGTTCCACAAAATCTGTCACAGAGTGATGCAATGGGTCCACACTTCTGTCAGTTCAGGCCATCCAGGAATATCCCGCACTCTTCACTTACTGCAAAATTCATTCTGGTGGCCCTCGATGACCAAGGACGTCACTACTTGCATCAAAACCTGTCAAGTCTGTGCCCAATCAAAGACCCCCAAGGAGATACCTTCAGGTCTCCTCCAACCACTGCCTATCCCACAACGTCCCTGGTCCCATCTATCTATTGACTTTGTCACAGACCTGCCTCTGTCCAACGGCTTCACTGCTGTCCTAGTTATCATTGACCGTTTCTCCAAATCTTGTCGTTTGGTTCCTCTAAAAGGACTTCCCACAGCCATGGAGACTGCACAAGCACTGTTTCATCAAGTCTTTCGAATTTATGGTATACCAGATGATATCGTCAGTGATAGAGGAACCCAGTTTACGTCCCAAGTTTGGAAAGCATTCTGCATTTGTATTCCCTACCACTAGATGGCAGACATGTAGTACTTCTTCTAATTACATCACATTCCTATTCAAAGTGTTCGAGAAAATAGCAGAGCAAGTGAGCTATCGTGTCATTGATGCGGAAACAGTCCAGTTCATAGCGTGCGAGTAAATTGTGAGATTTGTGAGAGAAAATCACCAAATGGCTAATAAAAAGTTGTACCGTGAGGATGTGTTGCAAATGTTATTCACCGATTCTGACTCTGAAGGGGAATATTTGCCTTTTGGAAATGACGATCGGTCGTCTAATAACCGCGCTTCTCCCCGTACATCTTTGCAGCGCAATGGTGCCGCCGTGCAAGGCGAGAGTGTTCACGAAGCACAAACAAGTGATCATTTCGACCCTTTGCCCAACGGGGATGGG